AAAAAAAAAAAAAAAAAAAAAGAAGGAAACCCATATATATTCGCCTCATTGACACAGAAAAGCCATGAAAAACTCGAGCTCAGGAGCTTCCAATATACAGGCTGAACATGGTTGGTTTCCTGCAGAGTCCCGCCGCTGATGGAGCTATAACGGAGGAGAAAGAAGACACCAAATCAATAGTTTCAGCAGATACCAAGAAGCCTCAAGACCCTTGTAACCCGGAGCTCGAAGACGTCCCGTCATCGTTCACCGATAGTTTTCTCGATCTCGACTCTATCAGCGGCTGGCTCCTGGGAAGGAGCCCCGATATCTCCGGCGACCCGGTTATGGCCAGTTTGGGCGGCGACCCACTTGATTTTGCGTCGTGTATTGGCGAATTAGGGAATCCCGAGGGCTGTTCCAAAGCGGCTGCCGATGAAATTTTGGGGAAAGGTGAAGGAATTGAGAAGAGTCTTGAAAAGGGCTACGAGGGTGGTGTGAAATTGGGGGTTTTGATTGAGGAGCAGCTTGGGAATGTGAGTCTGGGTGAGTCGACTTTCATCGACGGTGGGGTAAAGGCTAAGCTTGAAAATGAGGCTAATGGTGATGAAAATGAGAACTGTGGTGATGGTGATGTGAAGTCTGAAGGTGGGGTTTCATCTTCTTCGTCTTCTGCTTCTTCCAGTGGTAGCGACTCGTCTTCTTGTAGCAGTGATGATGAAGATGGTAATGGTGAGAAGAAAGTTATGAGCCGGCTCGAGGTAGAAGAAGGTGAGATTGTGTTGGCTGATGATGTGGACGAGATGGTTGCGTGGAGTGATAACGAGGATGGCGTGGTGGGACCAATCGTGTCCAAGAATGAGCTCAAGGTCAGTGCTTTTATCAGTTCTATTGTACTTTTATCTCTATCTCTGTTTTGTTTTTGTTGGTCATTGGGTAGGGGCAGAGTTAGTTATTTTGGTGCAAGCTGTTGAGCTAATCTCTGATTATATATCGGAATGTGAAGAAATGGTTGTGCTAGATCTTGATGTGAAGTTCTGTAGTTGACTGTTCTTGATGTGAAGTTTTGTAGTTGAATGTTCTTGATCCAATTGGACTTTGACAGATACACGGTTGGTAATTAAGTTGAAGATGCCATGAATATCGAACTTTCAGCTGGTGATTAAAGGTTTTGCTGAATTGTATGAGCCAGAGATTGATGGTGTGTGTGTTTTTGCTAAGTAGAGAATATATATATATATATATATATATATATATTCAATATCATTCAGTTTTTTTGTTATATTTTCTTTTGTATGGTCTTTTTTTTTATAGTGGAATCGAGTCAACTCTTTTCGTCTGCCATAGTTCTGTATTGTGTTTTACCAAATGTTCGCAACTGAATCCCGGTTTCCTTGATTGTGAATTGCTATTGATACCCTTGTTTGAAGCACCTTAATGTAGTGTTTTCTATAAGCTTTTATGTATGTTTGCTATACCAATCCTAGTATGCCTTTTGATGAATCGAGCAATGAAGCTCCTTAATGTAGTTATAATGAATGCCACCTTATATCTTTGAACGGGAAAAGGAGAAAGGTAAAAACTTCAAAGCAGAGAAAAGACTAATTGATCCAACTTGCATAAATATTTAGTTTTAACATCTTAATATTTTGTGCACCATTGACCATGCAACAAATTGAAATCACTTAGCGAAAAATTTGTTGTTTCCACTCATCAACTTACGCCAAATTCTGTGCCCTGCGGTCGTTTATCTTTTCCTAAGACAGAGCCAGGCAAATAACTGATGATATCCTATCAATGTGCTTCTAGATCAAGAGTAATCAACATAGACATTCAAATTTAATTCCTTTTGAAGAGTTCTTTACAGTTTTAAATTTTTTTGCCTCACTGATTGCCGCACAAAGTAGATCTATTTTCAAGGATCATGGCTTTAATTAATTACGGGATACAATTTACACGATGAGTAAACTTCATTTTATGCATCTCTTTCTATATGCAACAAAACTACAAAAGAATACTAATATATTCCACCTTTTTAATTACTCAGGTTCTTCCTCCAGTTCCTCCCGTCAATGTGACCTTGGAAACTCATCATGAAACCCTCCCAGTTGGCGTAATTTTGTCGGTAAGAGTATTTCCCTTGAAAAAAAAAAAAAAGATTAACTGCCATTATATCACTGTAACTTTTCTAATTTACGGTATGGTCCCTTGATCAGATCGTTGGTGCTCAAGTGATTGTGGAAGGTCTCGAGAAGCACAATCCACTCAACGAGGGCTCGATTCTTTGGGTCACCAAAACCCGGTTGCCACTAGGCATAATCGATGAGATATTCGGGCCCGTCAAGAACCCATACTACATTGTGAGATACAATTCGGAGAGTGAAGTCCCGGCTGGAATCGAGCTCGGCACTTTAATTTCTTTCGTCGAGGAGTTTGCAAACCATGTCTTGAACGATAAGAGTCTCTATCAAAAAGGGTATGATGCGTCCGGTGAAAACGACGAGGAGCTTTCTGACGAGCTCGAATTCTCGGACGATGAGAAAGAGGCCGAGTACAGGAAAATGCTCAAGATGAAGAAAAGGGGAAATGACGGGTCGAAGCCCATGAACAAAAGAAAGGAAAATCGGAAGCAGAAGAAGCAAAACGGGCCACAAACTCAACTTAGTGGTGGTGACACAATTCCAGCTAATCGAGAACACCATTTAGTGGGCCCCCCACCTATTTCGGCATCACTAAATCAAGAGAATTTTTCATTTTCTTTGGGCCCAAATTGTGATTTGGCTTCGTTTCAATCTCAAGGGCCGCCGGGTTTAGGACCTCCCAATGTAATTTGGAATAGTAATGGGTTCCCACTTCAGAATGGGCTGCCGGGAAATGGTGGCATGCTTTGGATGCAACAAAACGTGCCTTTCCAGTTTTTCCAAACGCCGCCCCTACAGACAAACATGGCTTTCCAGCAGCAGATGGGCCCGGGCCCGCTTCCTGGGCTGCCTTTCAACTTTAACGGGTTGGGCGGGCAAACAAATTTTGTTGGAGGCCCGATGATTGTGCCACCACAATTGCCCGGTATGAGCATGGGCCAGAATATGTTGAATCCGGGCCAATTCGGTATAGGTTTGCAGGCCCAACAGGCATCTGGGCCTATGAATGGGGGAGAACAAAATGGTCCAACTCCTCAGCAGCAATCGACTGAGACTCTGAATTTTAGTCAAGGCCGTGGCGGGAGAAGAGGGCACTATAGGGGAGGTCGGGGCCGATTTGGTGGTGGTAGAGGAAGGTTCAATAATCGTCAAAATGGTTAAAAATGGTCTGTCTTTGGATCCTTTTTACCAAACGAAGTATGAAAATCGGATATAAGTATGTCGATGCTATCCCGATTTGTCTGCCGGGTTTTTTTTTAGCAAAGTTTTTATCTTTATCTTTTTTTTTTCCCGTCTGTTTTTATAGTTGGTGATGTATAATACTCTGCTACAGTGGTTTGTTTAATTTAAGATTGAGCTTGTGATCATTTGATGTCCAAATTCTTGCTCATTGTTCTACTTTGAAATGGTAACAACAGTCACAGTGCTTTTGTGTTTCTGTTTAGTATCAACTTAATCTGGTTCTGTTCTGTGGCTACCTTTTGAACTGGTCTTGAGATGTATGTGGATTGATTAGAGAATATATCTTCCTAAAAACACACTCTCAACCAATCTTATTCTGATGCAATAATATTTTGTTTGTATTACTTTTTATAAAAATTAAGCAAATATTACATTTCAATTAAAAAAGAAACACAAAATATTTTGATGGGTGTTACAGTAAAGAATTGTCTTTTTTCTATTCTTTTTATTTATCTGTTAGTAAAGAACTATCTTTAGTAGTGTGTGGTTGGTTTGTGGGTTTTGGACCAACTTCTTAGGGAACTTCTGCAGAGTCAATTTTATGCTGGTTAAATAAGAATACAGTGGAAATAATACTGTTTTTTTTGGAGCTGATCACCACAAACACAAACACAAACACAAACGAAAGCTTAAACGCGAATATGAACAAAATCCAATCGAAAACGATAACTTCAATATACATAAATTTGCAGAGAATTACACACATTTCAATGAAATGCAATCACAAGTTCAATAACTCATCTGTTTCAGCTTTTCTTTCCTCAGACACTTTTTCTGGAGAACAAAAAAACTACATTCCAATGAATTCAATTGCTAGTCGATCGAACGAGCAACAAGGTTTAAATACTTCTCGACAAGTTTCTCCTGCGAAAGATCGGTATAATAACCTTCCCCCACAACCAAACCTTCTTCCGCGGCAAGCCTCTCGATCTCTTTCTGAACAAAATCACCATCAACTTCACTCGTATCCAATAAATTACAAGCAACCTCAATTATGCCTTTACCATGAGCAAGCGCCATTGACTGCACGGAGGGCTTTCCACCCCCTCTGCTACTAACACTTCTCGCAATCTTTCGAACTTTGGCCATATCGCTCGTGAAAATCGGTACATTGTAATTGTCGACCCAACGGGTGGCTCCAATTACGACAACGCCCTTTTTTGGGATAGCACGAGACGGGCCCTCATCCGTGCTGAGTTGCAGTGCTTCTGACTGTGGCCCACCAGTCCATTGGTTTCCATCGGCATTGGGCTTGAAGTAGCCCAGCTCCCTTCTGATGGAGTCGAGTGACCGTGCTTCACGGTGTGCTGCTCCGTAGAGGAATGTAGCCACTGCAAGGCTATGTGAGACAATATTTAGCTGGTGAATGAAATAAACGGACTTTATTTTCATTTGCAAACAACAAAAGAACTTTTTACGTCAACTCGAAATGAAAATTTGAAACTGGATACAAAAAAGTTCCAATCTTTGCAAAAAACCAATTCCTTAAAAGACAAATCTTTTAACCACTTTCACCGTTTAAACATCTGTCTCTCTATCGTTTTAGACTTCATCTGGTGTAAATCGTGTTTCTTGATAACTCAACGCTCAATCCTCTAAGATAAAATTTCAAACCAAGCTTAAATTTGCTTTTCAACGGTGTAGAAATTTGTCAAAGACTCCTCGAAAATACAAACTTCAGCTACCTTCTTACGAGTTGTGGTCGAACTGGAAAAAACCATAACCAACTCATGAATAACCACAAAAGTTCTTTATCTTATAACAAATAAACAACTCTTCATTTCTGTTACCTTCATAAATTAATTCAGACTCATTATCGCAAGCTGCTCTTTTTTTCAAGCTTCTGCAGCTTTATACACGATAAGCTACCTTATTATGAATTGGAGTCTAGCACGAAAAATCATAACCAATCCATGAACAACTACTCAAACTTCTCATCTTAACTAACAAACAACTCTTCATTTCAATCTTAACCCAGATAGATTACTTCACTTCACCCCCTTTTCACATATATCGAGAACAACAACATCCAAGCCCAATTATCCTAAATTAAAAGAAAAGAAAAAAAAAAT